CCCCCACCGTACTCGGAAGGCTGCTGTTCTCAGCGCCTCGAATCAGCAGGCGCGAGTCAAGAAGTGCCGACAGCTTTTGCTTCGGACGCACTCGATCGTCTTTTCGGATGAGAAGCTCTTCACCGTCGAGCAGCAGTTCAACGCTCAGAACGTCAGAATGATCGCAAGGGATGCCGAGGAAGCCGACAAGAAGGAAAGAGTCGTTCACCGGGCCGCACACCCTGCCCAAGTCATGGTTTGGACAGGGGTGTGTGCCTCGGGGAAGACGCCGTTGATATTCGTCGAACCCGGCGTCAAAATCAACAAAGATTTCTACCTGAAGACAATTCTGAAAGATGCGCTACTCCCATGATCGGATTCCCACTTCAACAGCCGCTCGTGGACATTCCAGCAAAATTCGGCGCCCGCCCACAAGGCTAAGGTCGTCCAAGCGTGGTGCAGGAGCGAACTCCCCGCCTTCATCTCGGCAGAATAATGGCCGGCATCGCCACCTGATTTGAACCCACTGGACTATAACTTGTGGTCCTACCTTGAGAGCAATGCCTGCGCCACTCCCCACCCCAATTTGGATTCTCTGAAGGCAGCGCTCATCCGAGAATGGGACGAAATCGACGACGTACCCCTGCGTCCGGTCATCGACGCCTTTCTCAAGCGACTCCGCGCTGTCGTCCGTGCCAAAGGTGGCCGAATCGAGAAGTAACTTATTATTGTTAATGTACAAGCTGTTACTTAATAAATGTTATGTTCATGACTCGCTTGCACTTTTGCTTTCTGAGATATAAGGTGAAAACCTTGTCGCTATATTTATGGCCAACCCTGTATATACGTAGTGAGATTTAAATATGCCCAAAGGTGTGAATACGTAAGAACAGCAGGAACTCTCAGGTAAGGTCTTATAAGTAAAGTGTAACAAATTGGAATTAGTGGAATCTATTGGACAATATGAAAATGTAAATACAATTAAAATGAAGTGAAAGATATCTCGTCCCTCTTCTTCCTCACGCGAAACCCCATTTCCACCTCTCCTGAGGCTCATCAGTGGTTTGGGATGAGTGGACCAAGGAATGTGCGAAATGCACTCTTCAGTAAAAGTAAACAAAGTCCAAAAATGAAAACTAAGTTGTACCATCGGTAATGCTTAATACTCAAAAAATTGTTATAGTTCCTTTAACGACTTCAGTAATGTTGTTGAGATTATCCTTTTCAGAGTGACTGTATTGAATAAGTTTATTTCTGTATACACATCTATCGGTAAAGTAATTATAAACTCTTCTTTATACCCATTTCTCAAGTGAATGTCCATCATTTTCGTTACCCTTGTGGTAAACATTCCGATCCTAAAACACGTGTTGGCAAGCCAACAACCTAAAGAAGCAGAAATATCTCAAGGAAGAAGAGTAAGAAGACTGAAAGTGAAGGTTAAGGCTGGAAAATGATCCACGCCTCACTTGGGGACACGGGCATGGAGAAAAAAAAAGGAAAAGAATCAAGAAGGTCACGTGAAGGACTCTTACTTAGTGAAATGATAGTGGGAATACAGGGACCTTTTTGTGTGTACAGGACGGATGTATTCCACTATGAGAAGACCCTCCCTACGAGGTCCTGGCCCGCGGTCCAAAACACAGGGAGAATGCAACAACACTGGGCTCGCTGACAACTCAGCCCGATGCAAATGAAACTGAGCGAAACTTCAGGTGAGTAGACCAAAGGGAATCTTAGGCAGGAGAGTTCATCGTCATAAAGGTCCCTTGAACAGCTTAAGGCACATAAAAATCACTTTAGACTGCTATCGTCCATTTATTGGAATACATGCAAGTGACTTTCAATGACGTCCTATGTAGAAAAATAATATATTAACATGGTATTTAATTAACGTGTGCTCGGTATCCTACAATGGCCTGTTTGCTTGCAGGTGAGCTGGAGGAATGTGTGCATTTACATATTTATTTATTTACTTGTTCATTGAAGACGCAACCGAGGTTCGATAAGATCGTAGCGAACAGAAACCCGTGACACAACAGAAAAAAATTAAGAGCAAGAGTAGATGAAAGCAATTTAAGAGCAGTGCTACGGAGTTTTTGGACCTGGTCTAGCAAACCTGTCTCAGCAAATGAAATACTGAGTTGAAATTTTGCTCTTTTATTGTTTGATATGGTTACATCACAAAAGTCTGCCAGGGCCAGATCAGTTTGACATGTCAAAACTTTGTGAACCATTACAAAATCGCTGAATAAGCGCTCTGATGGCAAACTTTCCAGTCCCAACAGTTTTCTTCTCTCTCTGACACCTGCAATCAATTCATAAGTGACTCCTTTGGAACGCATATTGACTGTTTGGTGAAATTATGAACCTTTTCGAACAGAGCGATATTATTTATTTTATATGGAGGGAACACCATATCGCCAAATATTAAATATTGAGCAAACTTACGTCTTATATGCTCTCAGTAAGGTGAGCTTTTAGAAAGGGGAGTTCTGGATAAGTCGTAGATAATACGGCTTGCTCTAGAGATCCCCAATTTATAATGGTCATGAAAACAAAGCTTATCTTTAAATATGAGGTCAGTTTCTCCAACCTCCTCAACACTCTTTACTTATCGAGACAAAAGAAGTAATACTGAGTAGAGCTTACAACTTATGGTTCAGTGCTGATACAGGCTGACCGGTCAACACGTTTACGTGTTAGTGCTGACAGGCTATGGCATATAAGCCATTAAGAAAGCGAAGGCAAGTGGGGTCACGGTAGTATAAGAATAAAGAGCACCCGTAAAGCACAATTACGGGTTCGAGTCCCGTCTGAGGCTGAAGTTTCGCCCACAAATCACCATCCTTGTGAGACTTACGGGTCGCGTTCTGCGAATATGTAACAGCAATTAACGAAACATCAAGTTGGAACTCTTATTTATTTTCCATCATTGTACAGGATGTCCCAAAATTATTTGCGCCAAAGTTCAGTAATTTTTAAGGTAGAAATAGTCTATCAATTCACATTACCTGTTATTAATTAGTTGCATAAGAAGGTTTTCTTGCAATATGCATGGTTGCTGATGTGAAACTCCCACTATCTTTCAGATGGAGGAGGTTCATTCAATGCCACTTGCAATCATTGACGCGAGAAGTGGAAGGGCGTTATGAAATTCTTTGGGATTTTTCTAATAACCGTATAGAAGGCTATTAAACGATATAGAAAAGAAGATTGAGTCAGAGACAAACCAGGAAAGATAGAAAGGTAGAATGTTTCTGAAGATAGGACTAATAAAATGGTCCGTATGCCAATCGGTCGGGATCCTGGGTGACCCATCAAAAGGAAGTCAACGGGCACGGCTTATCCGAGTTATCGCGGTGGAAGAATGTCATGCAGGAGCTCCACTGCTGTTCCTATCGTATGCAGAAATCGCTTCAATTCCGATCTCAACAGACACTGCAGGGCCAAAAATGCAGAAAGTCGAAAGTGGTGACACGCAACCCTTCGTCGTCTTCTCTGGTCAAGAAATTTTTTGCGATAAAGCCATTCCTCAACAACCAAAACGTTCGCGTTCCGGAAAGAAACATCCAGCGTGTAATATCTCACAAAAAGGTCGTTATCAGAACAGTAAAATGTTTTTCGAGGAAATCACTGGCAAGGGTAAGCCGCTCGTGGTTTCTTCGGTGCAGGCGTGAAAATTGACCAAGACCAGTACTCAAACGGCGTACTAATGGAAGTAAATAAAACATTGATCCGACTACGTTTTCTGAAACATCTCATATTCCT